TGATCTTTTGCATGTTGAATGGCCCTGCTCATCCCTGCAATGCAGTCTCTTAGCGTCGCAATGACCTGACCCTGGTTCTTTTCCATCGTTTGACGAACCATGACGGCAGAGACATCAGTAGTGCCGTCCAGAACACCAGACTTGAGATAGTCGTCAGCTTCGGTCTTTGCCAACTTGTACTGAATGAGCGTTTGGTGCATGATGTCTTTGTGCCAGGATGCAAATGGCCGTGCAGAGGTATATGGCTCTTCGGTTGATAGCTGATACGTAGCAAGGTTGGCCCAGGCTCGAACACTGACTCTACATGCTTCGCGGTGAGAGCTCTCGTGATTGACTAGGTCACGAATGTGATCAAGCTTTGGCCGACAAGCGGGTGGCGCAGCCCAGTATAGCGTTGAGAGTAGGTCATGGTGATTGCGTAGCGCTGCGAGATTTTCTTCGTCCAGGGGCTGGTCCTTGGGGTAAGCACGCCCATGATTAGGTAGAGAGCGGAAGACAAAGCTACGAATCTTCTTCTCGGGATAGGCAGTACTCATACCCTGAAGACCTAGAGCGAGACACTTCAGTGCGATGTGAAAGGAGTTCTCATTCGGCTCGACGTTGAGTGATGGAGCAGTGGCAAGGTCGTTGAGAAAGGGTACCGACCCAGCGCCTACTTCACGTCGTAGGCTTTTGAGTCCATTCTTGCCAAAGAAATCCAAGACAGCGTTGAGCATCAACTCCGGACGTCTCCAATGCCAATGAGCAATCAACCGGTGGCATCTTGCAAGATTGGCGCGGACGTATCCATTCAGCGACGTGCTGTGCTTCCTGTACGTACTCGGGTATAACTCGAATAATCTGCGTAAGAGATCTCGAATGCAAGCCCAGTTGTCGCTTTGGAAAGTCTCCCTCCGACTTCTAAGCGGTATGCCGGACGAATCGATCTCGTTGTAGGGAAGGAAGGTGAACATCGTGGCCCAGGTAGCCTCGAAGGCAGGTAAAGTAGTAGCGCTGCCCAGCTTGGAACTAAGCTCTTGACTGACCAGATCCCAGAAACCCCATGCTGGTATGTCCATCTCCTCCAAAACATGCATGCATATGACCGTGCTCTCAACAATCACGTCGGTATCTTGTATACCCTTCTCGCGTACGGAGTGTCGCTGGTTTTGTTCGAGAAAACTACCAAGACTGGGAATGCCGTGTCGCATCAAGTGAGCGACGATAGTCTTGGACAAGCTTTTGGCAAGACCGATAACACCGACTTGGTTTCCTGGAGCAATGGTAGGATGTTGAGCGATGTGGTGGATTTGAAGGCCAATGACAAGAAGGTATGCCATAGCACGGACCACACCATGAGTATGACTAGGATCTTGGCCGTTCAGGGTACCTTGAGCAACCAACAAGCTGTCAAAGATTGTTTGGCATAGCCGCAACAACTTGGCCACACAGTCATCTCGATCGATGGGATCCAAAAAGCTGAGATGGTGGGTGATATAGCTGATAAGTGATCGTGCCAATCGAGCTGAGTTCAGCGGACTTTCGTGGACTGATGATGACGTATCAGGGTCGGGTCCATGGACTTCAACAGGTTCTGATACCGCTTTCACAAGCTCTTGTAGCCTAGAAAATGTTTCATCATTCCATGGGCCACATCTGACTGACAGAGCGCCATGGCTGATGGTGCAATGGCCGGCCAATTCATCGAGGTCACGGCTACCGGGCTTGCTGACAAGTAGAGCTTGGCGAAACTCGTCAGCCCCGATGAACGTGGAAGAATGGAAGTACGTGTCGGTGGCTAGAGAGTATACATCGAACGTGATCGGGTAACGGGTGCCATAAGGACCCAACCCGTGGAGTACGGGCAAGCCGTCTTCCGTGTCGACCTCTTGTGGTTGAGGAGCGTCGGTGTTCTTGAGGATCTCGTCAACTGCTGGCTCGCTTGGCTGGCGGTATTCTCGCGCATCGACATCAATTCGTTGCGCTTGTACCTTTCGCTTCAAGCGTCTGCGAACCGGAGGTTGTTGTTTGCTTGGACCTTCAGTTTGGCCTTCTCCGACGTCTCTCGCGGAGGGAAGGGGCGGCAGTTCGGTATTGTCATCTGCGAGATACCTCGCCAGCTGTGGGTTTACGAAAGGCTGTTCGCTAGGCAGCTGAAGACCAAACTGCTGATCGACACGCAAGAGGCCCTTCTCGAATGCGATTTTCCTGTGGCCACGGCCAAAGTCGTTCTCATCGCCTTCAAGTTGCGCGGTTCTGAACGGAAGAGGCACCTGACGCCCAGCTCGTCCTGGATCCTTGCTTGATTGGACATGTTTCTTTCCTCGTTGCGTAGATTTCCTGACCTGGGTCGTAGAGCGCTGGAAGATATGGAGGCCTGCGGGGATGCTTTTACGTGGGCGTGTACGGGACACGTCCGTCCCGGCTTCAGATTGTACCTCAGTGCCCTTCGCAGATGCGGTGTCAGCTACTGGAACCTGCTCGGCATGCTGCTGGTTATCGATCCGATCAGCCAAAGGATGCCGGGATCTCCTTTTTTGCGATACGACATTTGCTCTCGGTTTCAGTGTTCCCCGTTGCCACTGTCGTAAAGTGGTATAGGCCTCTTCTGTGTCTTCAGTGTTATGCAGTCGTATCTGCTTGTCATGTGGACTTTGACGGGCTAAATCTGGTCTTTGAAGCGCTTGCCGTCTGGCGATCCTAAGGAACTGCGGCATCTTACTACTCGGTCGAGAAGGCGAAAGATCAATGTCAATGACACTCATGGCAGGTGGTGGGGTTCTGCGTGATTTCTTGGAGTGGCCATGCTTCCTGTTCGAGGATTGACCACCAGACGATCGTTTCCCAGAGCCAACGTTCTTTGCCAACCCGTCTGATAGTCTGACCTTCTTGGATTTCGCGAAAGCGTCTGTAAGTTTGGTCTGCTTTCTCCGCTTTGATCCAGTCCCACCGAGCGTAGGGAGTGGTAGACGGTCGTGTTCCATGTCGGACAGGTTGTCATCGGCATAACGATCGTCAAACATTGCAGCTAACGCAGAGGCGTCGGCCACAGAGTCTTGCACCCTTTGCAAAGGCCGGGGCTCAGAAGCCATGGGCCCGTCATCTGAATCATCAGATATGACAACAGGAGCTTGCGAAGGCGTGTTGGAAGCTGAACTTTGTCGAGGTCGGCCAGCAGGTCTCATGATTCTCTGAGCGACTCCACGAACAGGCACTGTTGGCTCGGGGGAAGCAGCTGCATTGATACGCGCGCGTTCCCGCTCGCGCTGTTGAGCCTTCCGTCGCTCTTGTGCCTGGCGATCGAATCGCAGCCAAGAAGCAGGCAAAACTCCCTTGATCTTTCGGCCCACATGACGCATGTCATCGTCACTCTTCTCTGCCTCACTAGCAGAGCCTGCAGCCGAAGATGAGCTGTCCGTTATCACTACCCTTGTTGGCCGACGCAGTTCTCCACCGGATCTTTGTATGCTGCGCGGGGCAGGCTCGGAGTCTGAGCCCTGGAGCATCTGAGGGTCTTCTTGCATGACAGACGACGTAGACGGCGTCGGCAAGTTTGGAGCAGGAGTTGATACACGCAGCATAGCTGGACGGCGAGCTGACGTGGTTCCATGTAATGGCGGACTACTTGAATACGGCGGCGAGTTCGGAGGTATGGACCAAATATCGCGTCGCATATCACTGTCTTCAAAAATGCTTGTCGGTGCCGCCGCTACTTGTGTGGATGAGAAATTAGGCTTCCTACGCTTGGCTGCATGAGGGTGACGGAGCTGTGTAGAAGGAGGACGTCTGGCGGGACCAGAAGTAGGCCGATGAACGAGATCATTTCTTGGACGTGGCAGCACAGGTGTAGAGACGGGTATCTCGACCTCGGGAGGGCTGCTTGTGGGGCTTTGATCGGGATTGAACTCCTGTTCTTGCGACTCATCGTTTGGCTGTCTGTGATGACCCTGAGGGGAACGTGAACGTTCTCTTCGCACCGGCTTGAGGCCTCTACTCTGTACTTCTCTCCGATACATCTCACCCTCCAACGCATATGGGTGCATTTGGATGGGCTTCCGTTGTCGAAACTCGCGTCTTGCCCTATCATCGGCGATTTGTCTTTGTAGAGCCGTTGCGGATGGTATGACAACTTGAACTGCCGTACGACGATGGGGCTCAGCGAAAGCAGGAGGGGGCGATTCCAGGTCCGAGGGCGGATCTGAGAGATCATCGTCGGAATCATCGGACAACGGCGCGATGCCGAACTCTCTGAGTATGCTTGAAGCATGTGTAGAGGTTTGAGGTTCCCCGGGGACAGTTGATTGTATCGGGGTAATCGAGGCATCGGAGAGGGGCACAACATGGCCGTCGTCGAGTTGAGGTATGGACACGGCAGAGCTTGGCTGGAGAATCAGGGATGCCAGGCGCTGTGACGACGGAGGTGGTACAGCCTGTCGGTTTCTAGGCGTAGGTGAGCCTAGCAGCGGATCAGGGCTCTCGGTGGGCTCTCTTCTTGTACTGCGCGTTGATTTGGGCGTGAAGGGAGATGGCGTAGGGCGTCTCGGCGAGCTGTGTTTGGTAGGCGTGGCGATGCCCGTCTCTTGCTTCTCTATCCCATTGATGCCTTCGTCGGCATACTTCTCTTCTCCCTCCTCTTGGTTGACTCCGTGCACCTCTTCCGTGGGTGCCTCATGCCGTCGGACCGGCGCGATGCCATCTTCGACGCGTTCGACGCGTCCACTCAGGCCAACACTCTGCCTGGAACTCTGACTCTCAAGCTGAGACTCGTCTTCTTCCTCATCCGAGTCCTGGACAAAACCTTTCTGTCGCCATTTGGACATTTGGACGCGCCTGCATGTCGTTCCGCGGTTGGATGCTGGCGGGGTGAGGTTTTGGGTGATGGCTGAAGGCATGGCGCGTCGTCCCGTGCTCCGCTTAGCGCGTGCTGGCGACGGCGGCGGGCTCAACTTTTTGCCCGCGGGAGTGCTTTCGTCATACATGCCAGTCTCATTCACCGTCACTCCACGCAACGAACACACGAAATGGCGGGACGTATTCTTCCAGTCGCGTTGGCAACTATTGTTGGTGTGTCAATTGGTGTGGCTACCTTTGATGGAGAGTTCAAAAAACAGCGAATCGCACGGATGGAGGAGGAGTACAAACGGTACGCAGAGTCCACAGGTGCTTTCGTCACTTTCACTAACGTTCGTGTCAGGGAACTCGCCGCTGCAAATGCTTCCAGCACCCCGAATCCCATCCCCGTAGCATCGAGTGCTGTAGCACCCCCACCTTCCGCACAAGTACAGGCTCAGAAAGAGGAAGCTGTGGCCTCCGCTCCTGCCGACAACTCGTGGTCAAACGTGCTTGGGCTCTGGGCATGGAAGAAGGACAACAAGACGGAAGCCGCGCCTGCGACTGCAACGAGTAGTGTGGAGAATCCCAAAAGCAAGCCTTGAATGCTACCATAATGGATTTCATAGGTTCAGCCTACGCTCGAGATCGTTCCATCGTCCCCGCCGCAGCGGGTCCAGACGCTTCAGCTCGTCTAGCCACGACCTCATATCCTTCGTTGTAAACGACCCGGTCCCAGCATCTACCTCCAAATAAGCCTCTGCAAGCCCGAGCAGCGCTTCGTATATCCACTTGCAATCCGCCTCGTCCTCCAATATGTCCCTGATGTACTCCATCTCGTGCTCGTAGTACTTTTGCCGCTCGCCGTTGCTCAGGTCCTGGACGACAAGCGCATCCGGCGGACACGACGGTGACAATATGGAGAGGAGGTATTGGTGATAGAACCATATGGACTGGTCGAAGGGGTCGGTGTTTATGGCTTCGCAAATCAGGGCTAGTTCTGAGTCGAGAAATACACGGCGCGCCTCAGCGTCTGCGTTGCGCTCGCGGAGGATCTTGGGGATAAGCTGGCTACGGTTGTGCCAAGCGGAGAAGTTGGAGAGATTGGTCTTGATCATCTTGGTCGTGTACTCGAATTCAGATTCGGAGAGGCTCTTCTGTGCTGGTCCTGATGCGGGAACATCCTCGGATGTGGTCAGACGCTCAATCTGCGACACCACAAATCGTCTGTAGCCCCAAGCATGGAAGTTGCGACTGTCTGCGTGCAGCATCTTGTTTATGAGTTGTAATTCTCCTGACCAGAGCTTACGTGCTGCATCCGCGCCCATCAGCGCTTCGCCTTCGCGCAACAGCCAGTTTCTGTGATTCCATATCCAATAGCATTTGGGGAACTTTCGTAATAGCGCAAATGTGAGCTGCAGGTCGCCCTGCAAGAGTTCGTCTGGTGATTGTTCGGGGGTGTCTGCGGTCACCAGAGCCATCAAGACGCGTCTTCGGTGATTCCATATCGTGTAGTATTCGGGATTCTCGTTCAAGAGTTTCGTGACAAGGCCCAGAACTTCGATCGTATATTGCTTTTCGGCAACCTGCAAAGCGAGTGTCAGTAGAGTCCAATGGAAGCTTTCTCTGATTGCGTTACCTTTGTGTTCACCAGATCAGCCAAATCTTTGTAGTCTGTAATCTGTTGTAGCTCCTTCTGCCGCGCTTCTTCTGAGCGGACGACTGGGCCAGACCCGCGTGATATACCGTGCTGGACACGTCAGCAAGGACCCGTGGAGCAATCAGGAAGTCAACTTACGCTTGCCATATGTTTCTGTGCTGTCTCAGAGGCTTCAGCGTTGCTTCCTCGAACTGCAGCCTCGGCGGAATGTTGCCCCACTACACGCGTGGAGCCCCTGCCCCTCCGTCATCCCTCGCGGAAGGTTGCCGTCACCACTAGCCGCATCTGCCAGCCCTATATCTGCTCCGAACATCCTAAGCAACCTTCAGCAGCCATTGCTATTACTAACCCAGCAGCAATACCACCGGGACATCAGGCAGCACCCGGTCTCCGGCCTCCTAGCTCCTCTCCTTCAGACAGCTTCACATGCGCTGAAGCTCACAGCTCAGTCTTCCAGTCCACTCATCTTGACACAAGCTGTTCCAACATGAGCGACACTGGCGACGAAGCATCTCCGTCTCGGTCCGGCTATCTCACACCGCCGCTGTCTCCTACGAAGACTGTCAGTACCGAAGGCTGGGCATCACCTCGGACGCCTCGGTCCCCGCGCAAAAGCCGCAGCTGCCTCTTCTTCAGGGATATCGACAGCGACTTTACTAGTCATTGCCCAACTCCATTGTCTTCTCCTAGGAAGTCCAAGTTCAAATTTCTCTCTCGTCTTGAAGCGCTGTCAACTCCAGACCTGAGTCCGACTAATCTCGTAATTGTGCCGATACCTTGCGACCTCAACCCGTTTCGAGATGGATCCTCATCCAGCAAGCGAAGACGCAGCAATCGCAGTTCCTCAGACAGCATAGTTGAAAGTGCAAGCCGCGCAGCATCTCCCTCATTGATTACAACAGATACAGTCACTACATTCGAAAGGCCTAATCTACCGCACTTACACTCCATTGACATCTCCGCTGACGACAGTTCTCCGCCTACCAAGCTTCGCCGTCTTCCCTTGCGCTACGCCAGCTCCCCTCTCAGATCCAGTCAATGGCTAGCACGAGGTGGCTTACTAGCATCACCTCGTCAGACCCAAACAAGTACGCCAGATCGTTTTATCGCTTGCCGCCGACCACCCACTATTACACGAGAAAGCTTCGAGCTCAACAGCCCTGCGGAGCGTCGGAACAAGGAACAGAACACCAACCGCGGTACACGTACAGGTGCAGATGCTTTCAGCCGTCGACTGCGCAGGAGTGGCCGTATGAATGAGGAACTACGCGGCCTCAGGGAGGCACACTCTGTAGTTTCAGGCCGGGCAAATGCAAACAGAAGAAACGTCAACTTCAGACAAACCCCTCTACCTCTGGGTACTCGCCAGATCAGCGCTGGCGCTGTCTGGAATGTTGGTGGGCCTTCTGCTGTGAGTGACACGGTAATAGCAGTCTCCACTGGCAGAGGTAGAATGCTTGGAAGTGGAACGAACGCGCCGTTGTACAAATCTGCTTTCCTGAACCGAGCAGACCCCGATGCCGAACTTGAAGCCTACGAAAGACGTCTCGCACTAGCGCTCGACATCGACCCGACTGATCGCATCCTGCAACACTCATCTTCTCCAGTGTCTGCGAGCTCACCGCATAGTGTTCCTGCATCGCAAGCAAAACATGTCTGGCGAGACGGGGCTTGGATCAGGGACGGAGTCGTTTCGAGTCTGTCTTCATTTGCTACGGACTCCAAATGTGATGTCGCTGCTAATCTGAGATCAAAGATCCCCGCCAAACACCACCAAAGCGAAGACCGGTGCCGATCTTGCCTTTTCGATATGTTCTTCTGCTTACCGATACTTCTCAATACTGACTCCGCTCACAGTTCTCGATGCCCCTAACCTCCGCGACGACTACTACTGTACCCTACTCGCATATTCCTACACCTCCAAGTGTCTGGCTGTCGGCCTAGGGAACTTTGTTCATCTTTGGTCTGAGAGAAATGGTGTCAATACGCCAGACTCCCTGAACGCCGTGCCGCCAAACGGTCCCGCAGACGTTCAGCACGTCACCTCCTTAGACTTTTCCTCTACAGCAGGGGGTCAAGCGATCCTTGCCGTGGGACGCGCAGATGGCCGCATCTTGCTATGGAGCCCACTGGATGCTGAGCCACGCTTCGATGCAACACAACCCAAGCCCGTATCGTGTGTATCCTGGAGACCGACTGTTGTGCAGCGCCCTTCTCTCCGAGACAGAGCAATGACCGTATCGACGGAGGAGTTGCTCATTGGGGACGAAGTCGGTCACATCTACTTTTACAGTGTGGAGTGGCCGTCAGAGACACACAGTGAACTATTCGGTTGGACTGGCGCCATGACCCTGCTGGCTCGACTTTCAATCCACAGTCAACAGATCTGTGGCCTAGCATGGTCATCCGACGGTGAGCTCTTCGCGAGTGGAGGAAACGACAACAACTGCAATCTGTTCGAAACGAAGAAAGTGCTCCGATCGAACCCCGCAAGCGAAAACACAGCAGCCATCTTAGACGTGCGCGAAGGCCCACGTGGCGAGTCTATCTACACCGTAACCAACCGTAGCAACAACGCTGTCCTACATCTCGCGCAATCAGCCGCAAAACACACCTGGACACTCAATGCCGCCGTCAAAGCCATGGCCTTTTGCCCCTGGCAGCGCGGACTTCTAGCCGTCGGCGGCGGCTCGAACGACCGCTGCATCCACTTCTACCACACCCGCTCCGGCACCTGTCTTGCGACCATCGACTGCGCAGCTCAAATCACTAGCCTCATCTGGTCCCAGACGCGCCGCGAGATCGCAGCAACTTTCGGCTTCGCGCAGCCCGAGCACCCCTACCGCGTCGCCGTCTTCGCCTGGCCCAGTTGCGAACAAGTCGTTGCCGTCCCGTGGTACGACGAAAATCGCGCGTTGTGTGCAGTCGCTTACCCAGGCGGTCCCACGAGCGGTCCGCAGACAGACGACGATCGTGATGGTGGGAGGGCGAGGGGTGAAGACGGGGTGTGGTCGCGAAGAGGTGTTGAGGAAGGTTGCATTGTTGTGGCCGCGAGTGATATGGCGATTCGGTTCCACGAGATATGGAGTGATCGACGGGGTAGTATGGGCGCGGGCGGCTTGCTGGGTGGTGGCTCGATGGGCTTGTTAGGTGGGAGTGATATCCTTGAGGGACCTTATGCTGGGGGTATCGAAAGGCAGGGCACGATTATCAGGTAGGTAAGGTAAGGTAAGTCTTCAGGGAATGGATGGGGATATAGGTTGAGATGAGCAGACTTGTTCCTAGTCTGGGAATCAAAAGTTTTGGTTCTGAATTACAATCGAGGTCTGCTCCAGTCTGTTACCATTGACCAGTCTTCGCAGATAGCACAAGCTGCAACCTTGACTCTTCTTTTCATTCCGTCATCTCGAATTCCACGACCTCGGCTTACGGTATAAAGCTTTCATCCGCTTTGCCTTCATTTTCGCCGTCTTAACGGGGTAAACGCTAATCTTCGGTCCTACATCTCTAGGAGCCCTCTTCCCCGGCTCTCTCTCCGCTAAAGCATCAAATTCCGGGTCCTTACTAAACATCGAAGTGTCCCCTTTTTCGCGGTTGCTCGGGATTTCGTCCAAGGCTTCTCTCCTTATCCTTCTCTCTTCCTCCTCCTCTTCTTCTTGGCTCCTCTCCCATCCCTCCATGTCATCTCTCACCATCTCTCTCTCCCTCTTCTCCATCCTCTCCTTCTTTTCTTGGGCGTTCCTCTTCCATATCTCCATGTCTTCTCTAGACGCCCTTTTCTGCTCTTCGTCTTGTTTTTTCCTCATCCATTCCTCCATGTCTTCTTTCACCGATCTCTCCGTCTTCTGCTGCTCACCGCCATCACCTCTGTCTTCCTCTTCTTGGCTACTCATCCATTTCTCCATGTCATCTCTCACCGATCTCTCCGTCTTCTGCTGTCCACCGCCATCACCTTGGAGCGCCATCTTCCTTTCCACACTCTCCCCTATATGTTCATCCATATCATCGGTATCCGTCCTCTCCGTTCTCCCCCAACCCTCCACCCTCTTTCTTGCCTTCTCCGTGACGCGGGCGGAGATTGCCCTTTCCACATGCTCCCATCTCAACTTCCCGCCCGCTGTAACCTTCTGTGCACGAGTTCTACTTTTCTGAACTATAGATTTCTTCGCCTTCTCGCTAGCCTTCTCGGCTGAACGCCTTTGGATCAGGGAGTTGATTTGTATGTCACGGTGTGCCCTGAGGACAGCTTCGAGAAGGTTGGAGTTCTGTTCCGTGGTGTCCATGATCTTTTCATCGTGCAGCAGTCCGGTGAGTTCGGAGTGTAGACCTTGGATGGCGAGTGTGAGAGCGTCTTCTTCTTTGGGTATTTCCCGCAGATCGCGACGCTTCCTGTGCGGGTCGGGGAGGGGTCTGTAAACTAGGATTGGGACCTCGGGCTCCTCTTTCTGCTCGTTTTCTTCAATCTGCTCTAGAGTCGGTTGTTGGCTTATGATTTGGTCCATGTCCGATTCTTGTTGCTTTGCACGTGCGACGTCTTCTTCGAAGAGGTGGGATGAATCTTTACCGCGGTTCTCCAGAACGAAAGCTAACCCGAGAGAGTGTCGGCCGTTACTACCATAGGTGGTATTGGTTTCAGTAGTGTCTTCCCTAGGTTCCGTCTCCCCGAATTTGTCGACCCAGAATATATTCCCTTCGAGCAGCCTCTTTGCGGTTCTATATACCGTACCACTGGCGGGGATGAGCTTGTTCCTCGGATCCATTGTGGCGTTGACCTGCAGTCGACCACTTGCGTGACCTATGGTGATGGCGCCCTCCATTAAAGGCTCCGGAGCAAGCATCTGTTCGACAACTGTTCCGGGGATGCGCGCCGCGACGGCTGTCGTCAGTGCAGCAGTCAAAGGAATGGCTCGATGAGGCTGTGTATCTGAGAGAAAACGTACGACAATGTCCATCTGTGATGCCTTGAGAGTCTTCCCTGAGAGGACGGGGTGCGCAGATGATTGTGATACGATGCCGATCTTGGGAACGGTACGAGGGACGTCATCCTCTGTAGATGCAATACCCATGACAACGGCAGCGGCTTTGCGAATGCTTTCGAGCAAAGCAAGCTTTTCCTGAAAATTGTTGAAGTCGTCGGGTAGGATGGTACCATCCACTCCGACATCGTCTGCTCGGACGAAGATCGCTGGGTTCGCGCCATCTATGCACGATACTCTGTAGCCCCCGATGTTGTCCACTCTCCTGCCAGTAGGTAGCACTCTGCCAGTTTTGCTGCCGTATGGACGTTTGAAATCCAATCTGATCTTTGAGCCTTTTCCGGTAACGCCGTCAATGCTGTAGTCACCCGCGACGGCAGCTTGTCCTCCAATGACTTCGAAGGTAGAGTCGAGCAGTTTCCCAGTGTTGGTATTCCGTATCTTCACTGTGACCACTCCGTCTCCCTGGGCGTATGTTCTTGATGGGAGAAGACCGGCGTTATAAGCATAAGGGCCAATTGCACTGCTCATGTTTCCACAGTTGCCTGCGACGTCGACTTCATTGTCTTCAATGCCCAAGCCGACGAATGTGTAATCAATGTCCAACTTTGGCTCATGTCCGGCCAATCCTGCCTCTTCCAGAGCCTCTGCAGCCTGTACAGCCTGCGCACTTTTACGAGCTGCATCAATACCACCAAAGCCTGTTCGAAATCGAGTGGCTCTCTCGGGCAAAGCCACTCTCCTCCCGTAGGGTTCTACGAGACATATCTTACTGAGACTCGATATGCCCGCACCCATCCCGTCAAGTTGCCGCCCATAGGGATCACCACTCCCCATTATCTGGCGGAATATGGTCGGCCATCTTGCGCGCTCTTTAGGCAAGGCTTGCGGCTGTAGGATTACGCCTCGTGATGTACCCCCGCGGTAATAGGCCGCCTCAATGGGTTTCTGGACTGTCGCAGATGGCGGAACGACGTCATGTCGCGAGACAAACGAGCGTATACGCAAGGAGAAGACTGGCGAAGGACGCATCACGCATCATGGCATTGACTTGTCGAGATGCATGTCAAAGGCGTATGCGATCGCCGGATGGCAAATTGTTCGGAAAGGGTCCGCCTCGGAACGGAAAGAATTGGACCCTGATGGAAGCACAGGCATTCGTCACTCACAGCTCCGAATTTTTCTCGAACGTCTTCATCATCATCGCATCCACCTGAGCTACACTATCGCCTTCGCATAAACCGTGCATCCTCTGCTTCATTCCACATTTCATACCACACAATGTTGCAAAGAACCATCCTCCGCGCCTCAAGACAGCAGGCTGCCCGCTCAATACGGCCTTTTGCGCCACTACGTCAACAATCACCCATCACACGAGCAGTCGCGACGCCCGCTATCCGGTGGTATTCAGATGCTGCACCAGCAAAGGAGGGCGAGGCTGCCGAGAAGAAGGAGGATGCGCCCGCAGAGAACAATGAGGCAACACAATTGAAGGAGCAGCTAGAGAAGAAGGACAAGGAAATCGTCGACTTGAAGGTATGCTTCAACGCTGCCCAGATGCATAACAGCAGCAGACTAACATGCCTCCGCAGGACAAGTACCTCCGCTCAGTCGCCGACTTCCGCAACCTCCAAGAGCGCACCCAGCGCGAAATCAAGGCCGCTAAAGACTTCGCCATCCAGCGCTTCGCCCGCGACCTCGTAGAATCCGTCGACAACCTCGACCGCGCCCTTGGCACCGTGCCAGAAGAGAAGCTCAAGGGGGATAACACCGACCTCATTGCCCTACACGACGGCATCAAGATGACCGACACCATCCTCATCAACACGCTGAAGAAGCACGGTCTGGAGCGATTCGACCCCAGCGAGGCGGCCGAGAAGTTCGACCCCAACATCCACGAGGCGGTCTTCCAAGCGCCGCAGCCGGACAAGGAGGACGGAACTTGCTTCCACACACAGCAGAAGGGCTTCAAGCTCAACGGCCGGACACTGCGACCGGCCAAGGTTGGCGTTGTAAAGAACGCTTAAACCCGACATCATTAGAAGCAATATGAGCTTCATTCTACGCGAACCAGGACCTCTGTCGCTGTCGCCACGATCTTCTTCGCATGTGTATGACTACTTCGGTTCGGCTCCATTGTAAGGTTGGCTGCTTTGATCTGGCACGGTACATTGGGGGCATGGCGTTTTCGTGTCAATTCACGAGGTACATTTGTGTACACATATTCCCCTCTCAGACGCATCTTGGAAAAGTTGAAGCAAGCATGATGACGAAATGGCTTTGCGTATATTGTAATATTAGATATGACGAACCATGAGCAAAAGAAGGCAGCTCTTTGAGCTAGCAGAGATACCAATGCCATTCGCATCAACTCATGTTCGATAGCGATTCGCAAAGTGTCCTTATTTTCGTGATAGATGCCAATATGTGAAGAAGGACTGCGTCTCTTTTGAGCAGTTTTGCAGTCTGTTGATGCCCACACCTTTTAGAACGCCAGGCCCATGCAATGTTGTACACCCAAACACGCCACTCTCTTCGTCTACCAATTGGACTGCCCGTAAGGCGTTGCTCCATATGGCGTAGTTCCTCCTTGTGCCGCACCGCCCCACGAGCTCGCTCCTCCGTATCCGCCTCCCCCAACAGGAGTATATCCGCCCGCATCACCGTATCCAGCACCGTTCAGTGTTGGGCTCTGCGCGCCGCCAAAGTCCTCGGGGCCTCCGACGCCGCCAGATAATTCTTTGATGATCTCGGCGAGTTTGCGTTGCAGGATGGCGATGCCTTGTGTAACGATTTCATCGGGTTCGAGACCGCCGACTGTTTCGACGTCGTAGAAGAAGCGTGATGGGGCAGCGTCGAAATTGAAGGGTTCGTCGGGGTTGGGAGGTCCGCCGTCGAGGTTTATGCGCGCTTCGTCCTTGGGCCTGGATATCTGTTAGAGACGTGCTGTTACACAATGTTCGGATGGTTTAGACGAAACATACCACTCCTTGTCCGCATCCTCCTCGTGCCAGTAGTCCAAGTGATGCAACTTATTCGCCGGATCGTACTCGAAGCCGATGGCTGCACTAGGTGCCCATTTTGCGTGTTCCTTTGCGATACCCTTCTTCGCGATGCACTTCATGTTGATCGCCTGGCCTCTCCTCAACTTGACGATGCAACTACCCGTCTCTTCTGAATCAGTGATGACCGGCTTCCCCAACTCTTCATTTGGTGCCCGAGACTCAATCACCAGATCCCGCGCGTACACCTTCATGATCTCGCTGCCTGTGCATTTTGCGTTGAGGGTAAGAACGACGGCGCAGTTGTCGCAGTAGCCTTCGCAGTCGCAGTCGCGCGAGTACAGCAGCTCTTCTACGCCTTTGGAGCACAGAGGAATAAGGCCGAGACGGTGGCAGACGAACTCGTCGGCGAGGACGGATGTGTTGTCGAACACTTCTACGACGTCGATGGCTAGGGTTGGAATCTCGGCGAGCATCACACGGCGGAGCGAGTTTGCGGTTTCGAGATTGAAGTTCTGGACGATGAAGTTGGCGCGCTGGCTGTCGGCCTACGCATAGCTGGGTTAGCTCGACGTGTCCTGGGGCAGACGGAGCGGGCGGTGTACCTGGAGGAAGCGCACGTTGATTGCGCCGCCATCTGGGTCGTAGTCCATCGCGTCGTCGTTTCAGGGAGGAGAGGGCTGTGTGCTTGCGAGGCTCGTGATGGAGCCGAGGTACTAGGGCGACTGGATTCGGAGGTGGAGAGAGACGTGTTGGCGTGTGTGGGGTGTGCTGGCTAGGGTCGTCGTCCTGATGGAGATTCTTTGAGGTGAGTCTGGGAGCGAAGCAGCCTAGCGTCCAGGTGTGGCGCATGCATCTACGCCACATCTAGAACCAGCCACACCATTGACAGTGGCATCGTCATACGGGTCAGCAGCTGGCGAGATTACGCCGAGTGTAGAATTGCATGCAGGGTCATATAGACCAAGATTAATGGTTGGATGACGTCTGAGTTCTATGCTTAAGAGTTACTAGGGAAACCGTAGATTTCGCAAAGGCGGAGTCGTCATAGCATCACCTGCAGCTACCGTCTCGTGCGTTGCTTGTACACACCAAACAGGAGACATGTACAACGGTTGTGCGCATCAAGACTTGTGGATGCGCCCGGCGTACGCGGAGCTCGAGACAGTCACGAGACAAGCATGGCCTTTGATCAGCCTTGCAGTTGAACGCATGAGACATTTTCCATGGGCCAAGCCTGACTTGAGCATCACAACAAAACCCAAACATGAAGGGTACTATTGGCCGACAAAGAACCTCAAGCGCAAAGCGCCTATGGCTGTGTTGCGACATGAGCCGACCGAGTTGAACAGTTGTCCTTGCCGTATCGCATGCCTATGGCAGACGGACAATAAACGAGTCTGCCGCCGAGTGATGACCTATTACATGCCCAGTCGGACGAGATAAGGCCTTGATGGTATTGCATGCATGCTGTGTAGTCCTAACATGGATAAGCCGGACACTAACAGTGGACTCGGTGCTTGAACAGTCAGTAAAGGATGTTCTGTGGAACCAGCGAGACACTGGTAGATGTTTCTTTCGTGGACATGAGGCTGAGTGGCAGGCGACTATGCATCAGCGAGGCTGAGGCTTCTCCTTTTCTCTGCGTCTCGTGCTATCGTCAGTTGAATCCATCATTGACGCGTCCGCCGAGGTCCGGAGACCTCCAGCAGCACAGTGCGTTGGGGAGCAATAGGGCGGGGCAGTGCAATGGTGCCCAGGAAATGGCGCGAAAGAAGCAGAGACATGGGACATGGACGCGGGAAATGGCATGGCCGGAGTCTGGCCTTGGCGGATTGAGGCGGAGCAACCGTCGCTGCTTGCGTGCGGGCGCTGCAACGACCAACCGCTGAAGGCGAACTTTGATATAAGACACACGCTGTCGGTCTCTTGCCCTCCAACTCACCACAGCAACTCAACCAACAGACCACAGTATATCTTTGCGCAACATAAATGATCGCAAACATGCAGGCTACTCTACCTCCATCACCAATGCGCTCCCGCGCGTCATCGGGAAGCAAGTCGCCACTTTCTCTCGACCTCTCAGACCTCCCACCGCTCGTCGAGCCATCACCTCCTTCAAACACACTCATCATAACCGTGAGTATTCCTCACTTTAAAATTAAGAGCACAAACTAACAGCGTTCAGAATCTTCTCGCACCCGAGATCTTCTCACTATCAACCCTCACCGAGATCCGCGAAACCGTAGACAAATATGCGAAAGTACACACATGGGCGCCGCTCAAGTCTTTCCGTCGCATCGTAGTATCCTTCTTCGACGTCGACTCTGCGATCCAGGTCCGACAAGCCCTTGATGGCGAACAGCTCATGGGCTACCGCATCCGCGTATACTTCGGCGTAAACACACCCATGAACCCCTCAGACCAGCACCTCGCCCTCCCAAAGTCCGACCGACTATTCTTCATCTCGCCGCCGCCCTCTCCACCTATGGGCTGGGAAATGAAGGAAGAGGATGCGCCAAACAAGATTGTACACCCAGAAGACCTTGCGGCTGCGCTGGCACGGTTACATGCAAACCACGAGGCGACTTCGCCTACGACCGACCACGGCGGCCCATCCATCACAAGAAGGCGAACTGGCAGCACCACTGTTGTCTACCACCCCGAAGACCACGGTGACTCACCCAACCTTCCAGCCATATCCGTCGAAGACACAACAGAGACACCTGAGCCGTTGACACCCATCGATGCGATGGAGGGCGTCGAGGGCCCGATCGCATCGCAGAAGGCGCAGGGCATAGCAGTGAGCACATCAAGGCCACCGGTCGAGCTCAT